GTGCTCCTCCCTGCTTCAAATATGACGAACAAAAAAAAAAAAGTTCTGTAATTTATTTATATATCAACATAATTTAAAATTTGATTTATAGCCCGAAGTCTGTAATTTTGACACAATTTAGAAAAGATTTTTACGAAGAGCAAATCTTTCCCACTAAATTTTTCATGTGACTAGGACGGGTGTCCAGGGACTCCAGGGCATTAATCGTCAAATTAATCATTATCGGCTAAATACCACAATTAATTGTGATTAATTTTTTTTGCCAATATTGCCCAACCCTAGTTTTTAGTCAGTCTTCTTTACCATTTGATTTTGAAACTAAAAAAACAAAGAAGGAACCATACACAGACAACTTGAGTTAAAACACATTCCGTTTATTGCAGGATCGTAATTCTTGTACATTTTGTTGTACAAACTAAAACTACAGAAAGTAAGGTTGTGCAATAAATTGAATTTGTTGTTGTGACTTTTTGTTTTGCTCAAAATGATCACAAAAACAAGACAATCGACAAAATAAAGAGTTTAATTAAAAATATATTTTTATACTTAAACACATACAGTATCTTTACGCTTCTTCTCAGCGGCGACACACAAAACTGCAAAAAAACATCAAAACAATTTCTGTAATTTGAGTAAAAATGGAGGCATGTTTTATTTCACTCATTTTGACTTAATCTTGTTTTCTACAAGGAAATTCTTTGTTGTTTTAAAATTTCATCTAACTCTTATAAAGCACTGCAGCTAGTCACAGTCACAGCACGTGATGTCCAATCAGGACACTTTTGGATGCGTTTTCTTTTACGAGCAAAACAAAAAGAATAAACGAGCTGTTTTGATGCTCGTGCACCTTTATCGTCTAATGAAGCAACAACAGTCGCTCTGTCTCCACACACTTGGAACTCAAAAATGTTTTTTTTTTAGAGATTTTTCCCGAGGGGTCATATGGAGATGAGTTAGTTTATTTGTTTATTTATTTTTGCAAACATATATCTGCATATTCAGACTCGTGAAAGACTCCAGAGAGAGGAGGATTTGTTTCGTACCATGGGAACTCTTGTAATATTCCCTCTAAATATAACGATACCAGCAGCAGCAGCAGCAGCAGGAAGGAGCAACAACCGCTTACCGAAGAGCCTGAGAAGCAGTTCAAGGTTGGCTCTTCGGCACGGTTCAGACCAGAGAACACTTAGGCCTCGTTATACCCATGTATCTTATTATACCTCTGCCGCGAGCTCGCTGAGCCGAGGCAATCCTAGTTAATTCCCCCACCCTTGCCCTTCCTCCTCCTCTTCTTCTCTTTTATGAGAAGAGTCTTCGCTCGCTGGAGCCTGCAGGGACGAGATGAGAGGCCCATCCCTGCAGCTTCTGTTTCGCTGCAGAGAACTTCACTCCCCATCGCTTTTCCACACCTCTGTGTCGTTTTGGTGTCTTTTATTTTTAATTAGTGGAGGTTAATTTCGGTGCCTCTAGTAAATTCTGACCCCCTAAYTCGTGGCCTCCGAGTGCTCCAGCAAACACATTCCTTCGTTTGTCCTCAAAAGTGAAGTTATGAGCCGTAAGCCCAGTTTTTCAGCTGGTGTGCCGACAAGGGCACTGATGTCGTGATATTAGCTTACAGTTTTAAACGACGCAGAGCCAAGGTTTTGTCATCGTGGGTCTTGATTTTAAAATTAGACGCGTCGCGCCGTAATCCTCGACGAGCCGTTTACAGGGGGGGGCTTTAAAGTCTGAGCGAGACTCGGGCCTGTAAAGTTTATTGTGAAATTCTGTAAGATTAAAAAAGCCAGCAAAGTGACAGCTCCTGATAGCAGCCCGGCTCCCTCCGGACGTCTGAACAACAAAAAACAACAGAAGAGGGGAAGAGAAGCTTTGTTTCTAAATTAATCTGCTTCATCACCACATCAAACACCCAAGTTTATTTCAGTTGTTATTATTTTTCCTATTATTTATCACATGACAGTTTTAGGTGCAAAGATGTTTAGTCAGCTCGGTTGTGAAACGGAAATAAGGCTGGTCTAATTTTTAACATCGTTAGGAGTCGTCACAGCGGTTAACCATGATCTTACTCAACAACATTGTTTCTAGTAACCTTCCAGGAAAACAGAAGGACTCTGAGAACAAACTGATACCAATTATTGTGCTTCAAGTGGGAGAAAAAAACAGTTAATAGATCGGGTTTGCTCAGTATATCAACAAACATTGTTACAAGTTAAGTATGTACGGCCAAAAAAGTGCTCTCTCAATGCCCTTGATGTCTACACACAGATAAATAATACCTTAAAAGCTAAAGAGCTAAAGTCTGTATCTAATTAGCTGCAACGGTTGCCAACTACTTGAAGACTTCTTTTATTTAGCGACTCAACGTTTAGGAGTCGCTAATATCATCATCATCATCAACTTCATTTATAAAGCACTTTAACACCAGCCACAGCTGAAACTTAAGTGCTGAACGTCAGCAAAAAATAAAAAAAGATAAAAACATAAAATCACTAAAATGAAGTAAAATCAAGTCTCAGTTGGGTTGAAGGCCAATGAGTAAAACTGAGTCTTCAGACAGGTCTTAAAAATGGACAATGAGGGGACCTGTCGTGATATTAGCTTACAGTTTTAAACGAGCAGTAAAGCATCCATGTCAACCCCCATCGAACATTTATCTGTATCCTTCAGAAATTAGTAAATGTCACCCAAAATACCTAGTATTTACACAATATAGGGGCAGGATAACGACATCCACTGCGATGCAGGAACAATCTAGTGGGGAGAGGAGGCAAACTTGGCATTTCCTTACAGGCTGGCTCTGTGACGTAAATTCTTTTTGAAGTTTTTTGATATGATTTGTGAGATTTTCTCTATATGTATGTCAACATGCAAAATRGAAAAAAAAAATCTGTACAATTTATGAATTGTACAACTTGACATGTACTGTATGGTAAAGCTGCGCTCACCCATGACCACAGTTTTCACTCAGTAACCCTTTCAAAATAAAGGTTCTGGTATTAAAAAAAAAAAAGCAAAAATGTGTTTGTGATGGGTACAATTTATTCTTTTTGGTTTGTTTTTCTTTGTGCTCTCCAGTCTGTTGGCGTTTCGTTTTACAAATCACTAAACTTCCCCAAATTTGTCTCACATTTCTCTCTGAAACTAACTTAAGATGGGCTCCAGATGCCTGAGGCGACCGTCCGACGTTGTGTGATCAAATGAGTCCTGCAAATTTTTTACATGTTCAAATCTCCAGGAACACGAGCGAGGYCTTTCACAAGAAAAGATATTTAGAGTTTTTTTTCCACAGAATACCACTTCAAAATGTCTGAACTACCCCTTTAATTTTTGCTCACTCCCTGCTCTGTTCTGAGTAAAAGGATGTTSTAGTACAACGGTGCTGTTGCTAACATTTGCTTCTGGTTGGTCGTAGGGGGTCCGATTTGATCCAGAGATCCCCCAAACTCTGCGGCTGGAGTTTGCCAAGGCCAACACGAAGATGGCTAAAAACAAGCTGGTCGGCACCCCCAACCCCCCTCCCTCCCAGCAGAGCCCGGGACCACAGTTCATTAGCAGAGACCCATGTAAGTGCTCCAACCGTTCATCCGCCGGTTTGACTTTAAACCGACGCTTCCTTAAACGGAACTGGACCGAGCAGCTGTTTCCTTTTACGACCTCACTGTCATAAATAAACTTTTCAAAAGTGCTTTTCTTAATTCGTAATGGAACATTCACGCAGACGTGTGTATTTCTTTTTTGTGATGTGTTAACGGAACCTCGTATTGTTTGTTTGAACCTGTCTGATTCCCGCTGGATTGTTTTGAGTTCCTTCCTCTACAAAGGTCACCGCTCTGTGTTAGTTTAAGCACTTACTGACAGCACATGTTCATGGTTAACTTCTGCTCTAACCGTTCGGACTCCAGGGCCTGTTTTTGAGTGAAGCATTAATGCACCTGTGTGTCTGTTTCTTTTCCAGTTGGTTAAACATTTTTCCAAGGGGTTAAAGAATCATTCAGTGCTAGTTAAACATACACCGGCTGTAATCGTGCATTCTTCCTGAATGACCAAACTGCTCTTATCTCGGATCTTTTCTTTGCCAGAAGAGGGGTGGTACTCTGTGCCTGAGAGGAAAATGGAAGGAAACGATTAATGAAACCATGACGTAATCACCAGGAGAGACATTTCTCTTATTTTCCTGATAAGATTTTTTTGTAATCAGCCAATTTTTTTGTTTTGTTTTGTGATCATGCTTTGATAGAGTCACCAGGAGACATGGAAAGCAAAGAAAAATGCTCCTTTAAATTGTACGGCTATCAGATGTTTTTCCAATTAGTTCCTCCATGTTGACTGATTCTGCCCTTTTTTAAGTATTCACTCCCTCTGTAMAACACAGCACTCTCCTCACTTGTGCACTTTGTTAGTTTTTTTTTTTTCACTTTGCACTAAACTTTGACAGCAAATCATATCTGAGGTGGTTTCCTCTCACTGTTCTAGCTGCTGTTGCTAGCCTGTAAAGCTTTCGATTTTTATATCGGACAAAAGCAGTTTAAAATTGGAAAGGTGTTACATTTATCGCTAAAGATAAAGTACTAAACCGTAAAATTACAGGTCAAACTTAAGTAAACATGCAAGCTTCACGTTTGAGCTGAAAACCATCTGTTTTACAGGCTTAAATAAGAAATGTTGCAGTGATGCTTAATAGCTAGCTAACATTACTCCGTAAACCGGTTGAAAGCACAATCTCCTGGCTGAGGGTTTATTCATCTAACAGGTAAAACAAATCATATATACAAAATACTACATAGCAATAAACTAAAGCTGAAACTGTAATGTTAAGGTTTAAAAGACAACTGCTAAGACTKGTTTTTATGATGCTTGCTTTTGTATATATAAGGTTTCAGCAGTGGTGGGTATGGTTCCGCTAATCATCTAGCAGCTAATAGTGGAACATGTTCGTTTAGTGGATTAGCTTTTTCCCTAACATTGAAACCGTTAGTGTACCAATTAGGGTTGGGCATAATCGTATCGTCTGCAATTAATCGTCAGAAAAACAATCGATTAGTTTTTGGCACTTGATGATTCATACGATTAACGCCACCAGGCAGACTGACTAGATATTTTCCCGGTCAGTCCGCTCGGTGCTCCTCTCCTCTTCAAATATGACGAACATTTAAACAAAAGTTCTGTAATTTATTTATCAACACAATTTAAAATTTTAAGTATAGCCTGAAGTCTGTAATTTTTACACAATTTGGAAAAGATTTTTACTAAGAGCAAATCTTTCCCACTAAATTGGTCATGTGACTAGGACATAAGCGTGTCCAGGGACTCCATGGGATTAATTGTCATATTAATCGTTATCGGCTAAACACCACAATTAATCGTGATTAATTTTATTGCCAATATCGCCCAACCCTAGTACCAATTAGCTTCCACTAAATCAGGTTTTGCCAACTTTAAGTCCACTAACAGAAGAAGTGTGACACAGACTGACAGTCGTCTTAGCGGTTAGCAATAAGCTGTTAGTGTTAGCGTTCGCTAATTTGTACTTGTTTAGTTGTTTAGTGTTAGCTTCCGTAATTTTTTTTGTACATGTTTAGCAGTTTAGCCATAGCAAAGCTATGTTTTTGGTTAGCAGATTGCAAATTAGAGAAGCTAGCTTTTTGCATAGCTGTGACCACCACTGTGTTTCAAGTGTTGGAAGTTGACATTGAAAGATGCCAGAATAGGGTAAATAAGGGTTAAGTGTATTAAAGTCTGTTAGATCAAAAAAGGTTAGGTCAGARTGCTTTGAAGATTGCTGTGCTTTTATTTTTGCTACTTTAGCAGCTAGCAGATATTAGCTTAGCATGGTCCTTGCTCTCACAATCACTGGGCCTTTACAGGGTTTCAACAAAGTTAGCTAAAAAACAAGAAACTTCCATTTTTTTTCATGGCAATGAATTTGTTGTAGTTGTAAAGGGTCCATTTTTTACACAAATGGACGTAAAGGTGGTACTACTTAGATTAGTTAGGTTAATTAGTAATTAAATTGTCCATAAGTCAGGGTGAGAGYGCAAATGGTTGTTTCTATAGCCGTTCGAAAATGGTCCAGTCTCATATAGAGGCTTTTAGCAGATTAGCATGTTTACTTTTACTGGTTTTTAGAGTGAAGATTAATCCAAAGCTTTACAGGCTTACAGTTTCTACCTACAGATGCTAAGCTATAGCTAACCTCGTGAACAAATATTTAGGGGGTTGTTTTTTGTTTGTTTGTTTTGGTCGGTGCTTGGTTTAAAAAAAAAAGCCAAACCAGAGGATTCAACTTCAGATAGCACTCCCCCACCAGTGCACACCTCCACAATCACCACCATCACCGTCACCTTCACCCTGCCTCTCTATCCACCCGCCCATCCACGTACCACGCTCCTCACCCCACTCCTGCTCTTCTTCTTTCCACAGATGAGCTCACAGTGCCTGCTCTATACCCCAGCAGCCCAGACGTGTGGGCGTCATACCCGCTGTACCCGACAGAGCTGTCGCCAGCCCTGCAGCCTGCTTTCACCTACCCCTCCTCGCTCCACGCTCAGGTAATCCCACCACATGCTCCCCCTTCACCATCACCGCCGCCGCCACCAGCACTTTTCCTTCACTTTACCTCTTAGTCCAYCATCCAATCAGCTGCTGCCGTCGGCTCTGACATCTCTGTTCACTCCTTTAGACTCAGTTACAAATAAACTAAACATTTCATGTTTAAATTTKGGGGGAAATAAAACATTCATGAAAATTTAGTACTATCTTTAAAGAAGTGCAGTTTTTCTTTTTTTTTTTTTAGCTTTCCCTCGAGTAAAGCTACAACCTGGTCCAATAAACGTCCTGACTTTATTGTAATTATTCACTATAACTGTAAATAAAAAGGATTTATAGGTTTTGGATGACTGTTTCAAGCTTCAAGRAGGAAAACCTTTGAGATTGCTGGACAAAATGTCCAAGAGATCGTTCCAAAAAGTCCTTTTCGAACAGCGTAAAGGCATTTCCCAAATATTTTTTAAGAAAAAAATGAATAAATCGTTTCTTCTGACTTCATAATCTGAAAACCTATTTGCAAATGATTGATTCTTGTTAAAATAAAGTCCGTAATTACTAAGTTTGAATGTTTTTTCGCTTAAAAAAAATAATGAACTCTAAGAGCTGAAAACTCTTGCATCATTTTATCATCTTCTACCTCATTAACGCAGTTGTTAAAACAAGGTTCAGTTTATTGAAGTCTTCTAATCTGCTCGGCTCACATCAGACTTAATAYCAATATGTTGAAATTCCTCTCATGAATCCTGTGTTGTGTTGGCTGGATCTTCAAACAACCTCAGGTCCAGACATTTTTTTGACGGTGTAGTTGGTTTATAAGCAGCCATTAATCAGTTTGCAGCAGTTTTATGCACAAAATGTCGTATATATAATGTAAAATGTAGTGTATATTGAATATATTTCCACATATAAATCAAACACTTGGTGTTTCGGTAAGAAGGCCTCGTAAAAGATTATGTCAGATTTTGAAATAAGTGCCATTTTGAATCTGCTTAGCTGGCAGTTTTCCRCACGATACGTGTGCTAAGACTGAGAATCCAGCTCTGTGATTTCATCCGGGGGGTTGTGGTCWGCGCTAGTGTGCTTCAGCCTCTTCTGACCAGGAGATGCTGATGCGAGGCCAACAGATGTGTGTGTGTTTGTGTGTATAGAGACAGGCTTTAAGCATGAGCTCACCTTTCTGGCTCCATCGTTAATCAGCTGTCGTCATCTTGCTTAGTGGATGTTAAGAGGTGTTTTTGGATGACTACCGGTACTTAATGTCAACTCATGAAAAACTATAAGTCCTGTAATAGTTWAGAAAATTTTAGATGAAATTAATGGTATTTAATCTGTGTGACCAAGCATTTTGCAGTTTAGTTAGATATTGRTGGGTTTGTTTTTGTTTCTCCCCATCTAAAAGCATCAAGAATTTTCAATAAAACGTGTTGTAAYTTGTTGGTGTTTTGACATCTTTGTTTTAGGTTTTTGAGCCTGTTTCTAACAGCTGTATTTTTAAATGGA